ATAACAAAAAATAGCTCAATTCAGAAAAGATTTAAGTTTAAAACTGAATAAATATTTTTACATTCAGAATTAATTTTATGCACCTGGATCTAGGCTAGGTGATCCCGCATTATGTCTTTACTCACCACCCCCCCCATTTCTAAAATCGTAATGGGCAGACAGTAATCGAACTATTCTATCTGGATAAATGCATTTGGGCATTTATGATGACTCCCATTTCAAAAAAATGAAGTGTGACATGACACACACTGGCTTTTATATAGGCTAGATAGTATAAGTGTAGCTACCAGTTTAGCCACCAATTTTGATTTCACTCCTGTAAGTCACACGCGCAATCTTTTTTTTTTTCTTGGCTGCACATTTTTTTTTCACACCTAAGGTGTTTTTGATTAGATTTAACTTCCGGTACATAGCTACTTTTTGAAATATTCAAATAAACTACCTGAGCAACAATGCAATAAACTAAATCTTTATTCATGATGCAAATGTATATGTGTGTGTGCACACACACAAACTACGTGTACTTTTTATGTACAAGAAACAAAGGAAATCTTCTGTAGCATCACACACAAACACACACGCTGTACAATAATTATCTTTGTACATAAATAACTGGCTATAAAATACATTTTTCATAACACTTTGTTAATAGCCTACATATTAACTTCTACTCAACTGTTTGTATACAACAATACTGCTGTGGCAGTTAAATAATCTTCAATATTATTCTCAAGGTTACATTATTATAACACGCACTAATACTTATACAATTGAGGAACACAAACAGGTATACAAATGTTTTATTACATAACTCTTAAGGTTAGATTATTACAACACTCACTACTACTTATACACTTCAGGAACACAAACAGTTATACAAGTGTTTTATTACATAACTCTTAAGGTTAGATTATTATAACACTCACTACTACTTATACACTTGAGGAACATAAACAGTTATACAAGTGTTTTATTACACAACTCTTAAGGTTAGAATTATTACAACACTCACTATTACTTATACACTTGAGAAACAAACAGTTATACAAGTGTTTTATTACATAACTCGTAAGGTTACATTATTACAACACTCACTACTACTTATACACTTGAGGAACACAAACAGGTATACAAGTGTTTTATTACACAACTCTTAAGGTTAGATTATTATAACTCTCACTACTACTTATACACTTGAGGAACACAAACAGGTATACAAGTGTTTTATTACATAACTCATAAGGTTACATTATTATAACACTCACTACTACTTATACACTTGAGGAACACAAACAGGTATACAAGTGTTTTATTACATAACTCTTAAGGTTAGATTATTACAACACTCACTACTACTTATACACTTGAGTTTTACCAACATAGATACAAGTGTTTAATTAAATTACTTCTGAGGCTACAGCACTATAACACACTACTAATTATATACTTGAGGACACAAACAGGTATACAAGTGTTTTATTACATAACTCG